CCTCGGCCTCCCAAAGTGCTAGGATTACAGGCTTGAGCCACCGCGCCCGGCCTATTATTTTTTCTTTTGAGGTGACGTCTCCCTCTGTCTCACAGGCTGGAGTACAGTGGTGCGATCTCAGCTCATTGCAACCTCCGCCTCCTAGGTTCAAGTGATTTTCCTGCCTCAGCCTCCCAAGTAGCTGGAACTACAGGCATACACCACCATGCCTGGCTAAGTTTTGTATTTTTAATAGAGACAAAGTTTCACTGTGTTAGCCAGGATGGTCTCGATCCCCTGACCACGTGATCCACCTGCCTCGGCCTCCCAAAGTGTTGGGATTACAGGTGTGAGCTACCATGCCCAGCCATATTTTTTTGAGATGGAGTCTCACTCTGTTGCCCAGGCTGGAGTGCAGCGGTACAATCTCAGCTCACTGCATCCTCCACCTCTCAGGTTCAAGTGATTCTCCTGCCCCAGCCTCCCAAGTAGCTAGGATTATAGGCACGTGCCACCATGCCCAGCTAATTTTTGTATTTTTATTAGAGATGGGATTTCACCGTATTGGCCAGGGTGGTCTCAAACTCCTGACCTCGTGATCCTCCCACCTCGGCCTCCCAAAGTGCTAGGATTACAGGCCTGAGTCACTGTGCCTGGCCGGAAGAGTATATGATCTTTAGATTGTATGATCAGGAAAGGCCCAACTAGGAAGTGATATGTGCCTGAAATGTGAATTACAAGAAAGAGCAATGCAGGCAAACATCTGGGAGGAGCAGCTTGCTTCTATAATGCTAGCACTTTGGGAGGCTGAAGGAGAAGGATAATTTGAGGCCAGGAGTTGGAGACCAGCCTGGGCAACATAGGGAGACTCCATTTCTAGGGAAAAAAAAAAAAAAAAGCCAGGTATGGTGGCTCACCTCTGTAATCCTAGCACTTTGAGAGGCTGAGGTGGGAGGATCACAAGGTCAGGAGTTTGAGACCACCCTGGCCAATATGGTGAAATCCCATCTCTAATAAAAATACAAAAATTAGCCAGGCATGGTGGTACATGCCTGGAGTCCCAGCTACTTGGGAGCCCGAGGCAAAAAAATCACTTGAACCTAGGAGGTGGAAGTTGCAGTGAGCCGAGATCACACCACTGCACTACAGCCTGGATGACAGACGGAAACCCCGGCTAAAAAAAAAAAAAAAAAAAAAAATGCCTGACTGGTGGCACTAATGCAGTCCTAGCTAGTTACTCAGGAGACTGAGGTGGGAGGATTTCTTTAGGCTGCAGTGAGTTATGATCACCACTGCATTCCAGCTTAGGCAATAGAGCAAGACACTATCTCTCACAGAGTCAGACGAGAGAGAGCTCATTTACAAAGAGATAGAGGAGAGAAAGAGAGAGAAAGAGAGAGAGAGAGAGAGAGTGTGTGCGTGTGTGTGTGTGCGTGTGTGTGTGTGTGTCACTCTGTTACCAAGGCTGGTCATGAACCCTGGCCTCAAGAGATCCTCCTGTGTCAGTGGAGATCCCTTCTCTTAGAAAAGAAAAAAGAAAGACAAAGGTCTGGCGTGGTGGCTCATGCCTGTAATTCCAACATCTTGGGAGGCTGAAGCGGGAAGATTGCTTGAGCTCAGGAGTTGGAGACCAGCCTGGGCAACACAGAGAGACCCAGTCTGTACAACAAAATTTTAAAAATTAGCCGGGCGTGGTGGCGCGCGCCTGCTGCCCCAACTACTTGGGAGGCTGAGGTGGGAGGATCTCTTGGGGTCACGAGTTGGAGGCACCAGTGAGCTATGATCTGGCTAGTGCACTCCAGCCTGGACAACAGAGATTCTCTCTCTGCCCAGGGCAGTGAAGTACTTGGGCCTCCAACAAGCATGTGTAGATATATATTTGCTGAATCGATTTGCTGCACTCTGTTATAGCGCTTGACTTATGGAGTCTTTCACTAATTAATTAATCTCGTTATAAGTGTTTACTGAGCAGTTGTTACAGGCTGTGCATTAAGAAGAGTTGCCTTTTGAGGCCCAGGTTGGGCGGACAAGGGGCGTGGCTTTAGTGGTTCCCGCCCACGACAGCGAGGCCCAATCAGACCCGCGAAGGGGGTGGAGTTCCGCCCTCTTGGTCGCGGCCGGCCCGGAACTGGGGTTACGGAGGCTATCTGTGCTTCCGGTGGATTCCCAGGGGCTGCCGGAGTTGTGGACTTAGCCTCCCAGACTGCTCTGGGAAGATGTTCTACCATGTGAGCAGGGCTCAGGGTGGCAGCAAGGGCTGGGTGGGAAGGAGGAGCAAAGCTAGGCGCCGGCGCAAGGGGCTCCTTCTTGCCCGCTAACCTCCCAGCGCCTGGCCTGGTCGCCATCCCACTTTTCTCCGCAGATCTCCCTAGAGCACGAAATCCTGCTGCACCCGCGCTACTTCGGCCCCAACTTGCTCAACACAGTGAAGCAGAAGCTCTTCACCGAGGTGGAGGGGACCTGCACCGGGAAGTGAGTGCCGACCTCACCGCGCAGCCGGATCGCGCACACGGGGCGCTATGCATGCAACCCCTCCCCAGCTCCTGCTCCTCCTGCCACCCACTCTGGGGACCTCTCTCACTCTCTCAGGCTGCCAGTTGCTTCCTGCTTTGGGTTCCCACGACGCGCTCTGCAATGCTGGCCGATAAGACTTCCTTCCCTCAGTTGAAATTGGTCATTCATTTACTCCTCAAACATGTTAAAAAATCCTTGCTGTGTGCCAGGACCCGTGTTGGGCTCTGAGAACAAGATAGAATGAGACAAGCCCTCGTGGAGCCCACAGTGTAATTACTGTTCCTGTGTCTGCTCTCCCTCTGTCATTTTGCTGGTTTTCTCTTATCTCCTGTGCCCAGGGACCACACACAATGGGCCTCAATATATATTCTGAATGAAGGACCAGAAAAAGCAGATCGAGAGTTGGGGGAGGAAGGAAGAAGCCTGGGACTTGAACATCTCTGGGCTTTGCACAGAGGGGCCTCTCACAGGGTGGTATTAATGACCCAACCCAGGGCAGTGGAGTTACTTGGGCCTCCAGCATCAGAAAAACCTGGGGTGGTTCTTGAACATGCAAATTCCTGAGCCTCATTGTTCCCTACAGAATCAAGATTCTCTGGGGCAGACCTGAGAATCTACTTTCTTTTTTTTTTTTCTTTTTCTTTGAGATGGAAGTCTCACTCTCACCCAGGCTGGAGTCCAGTGGCACCATCTCGGCTCACTGCAACCTCTGCCTCCCGGGTTCAAACCATTCTGCCTCAGTCTCCCAAGTAGCTGGGATTACAGACGTGCATAACCACATCCAGCTAATTTTTGTATTTTTAGTAGAGATGGGGTTTCTCCATGTTGGCCAGGCTGGTCTCAAACTCCTGGCCTCAGGTGATCTGCCTGCCTCGGCCTCCCAAAGTGCTGGGGTTACAGGCATGAGCCACCGTGCCGGGCCAGAGTCTGCATTGTAATAAGATGATTCTCAGGCATCCCAAAGATTGAGACCTGTTGGCTCAAGGACTCCAGCCTTCTTGGACATTTATTGTGAAATTACCAGAGCAGCATTTGGCCTTATACATACTGATCTGTGTTCTATGTCCTCTTGGTCATTAAGCTCTGGGAACTGAGGTGCTATCAACTTGTCCTTTTGTTCTCCCCGACCCTACTCCCAAAAGCTTAGTGACTTTTATTGCAGAATCGGTAGAGGCTCTTGGACACAAAATGCCTTTTGTTTCTCCTCTTCCTTGCAGGTATGGCTTTGTAATTGCTGTAACCACCATTGACAATATCGGTGCTGGTGTGATCCAGCCAGGCCGAGGCTTCGTCCTTTATCCAGTTAAGTACAAGGCCATTGTTTTCCGGCCCTTTAAAGGAGAAGTCGTGGATGCTGTTGTCACTCAGGTCAACAAGGTGAGACCATACATAGGGGAGCCAGTGGGGTAGTCTCTTGGAAGATGTCGGTTGGGTCTTGGCTCCACTTGATAACTCTGTGCCTTCAGCTAAGTCACTTTATTATTTGTTTTTGTTTTTTTTTTTTGAGCTTTGCTCTTTAACCCAGAGTGCAGTGGCACGATCTCGGCTCACTGCAACCTCTGCCTCCTGGGTTCAAGCGATTCTCCTGCCTCAGCCTCCTGAGTAGCTGGGACTAAAGGCGTGTGCCACCACGGCTGGCTAATTTTTTTTTTTTTTTTTTTTTTAGTGGAGATGGGATCTTGCCATGTTGCCCAGGCTGGCCTTGAACTCCTGAGCTCAGTCTGCCCACCTCAGCCTCCCAAAGCACTAGGATTACAGGCGTGAGCCACCATGCCTGGGCAGTAACTTTACTTCTTGTGCTGCACTTTAAAATTGTATGGTAATCTCGCCCTGTGTGACTCAGAGGGCAAGGGAGTCAATATAAATAGTCATAACAATAAAAGCCTGCATTGACTGAGTAGTTACTCTGGGCCAGGTAATGTGCAGAGACTCACAGTGATTTTACAAGGTGGGTGCTTTTTTACAGAAGCTGAAGCTTAAGTTAAGTGTACTGGTCAAGATCATGTGCCCAACGGGTGTTCAAATCTTTTTTTTTTTTTCTTTTGAGACAGAGTTTCGCTCGTTAACCAGGTTGGAGTGCAATGTCATGATCCCAGCTCACCACAACCTCCGCCTCCTGGGTTGAAGCAATTCTCCTGCCTCAGCCTCCCAAGTAGCTGGTACTGCAGGCGTGTGCCACCATGCCCAGCTAAGTTTTTTTTTTTGTACTTTTTTTTTTTTTTTTTTGAGACAGAGTTTCGCTCTTGTTACCCAGGCTAGAGTGCAATGGCACGATCTCGGCTCACCGCAACCTCCGCCTCCCGGGTTCAGGCAATTCTCCTGCCTCAGCCTCCTGAGTAGCTGGGATTACAGGCACGTGCCACCATGCCCAGCTAATTTTTTGTATTTTTAGTAGAGACGGGGTTTCACCATGTTGACCAGGATGGTCTTGATCTCTTGACCTCGTGATCCACCCACCTTGGCCTCCCAAAGTGCTGCAATTATAGGCGTGAACCACCACACCCAGCCTTTTTTTTTTTTTTTTTTTTGAGACGTAGTCTTGCTCTGTTGCCCAGGCTAGAGTTCATTGGCTCAATCTCGGCTCACTGCAATCTCTGCCTTCTGGGTTCAAGCGATTCTCCTGCCTCAGCCTCCCGACTAGCCGGGATTACAGGCATGTGCCACCACGCCCGGCTAAGTTTTTGTATTTTTAGTAGAGATGGGGTTTCACCATGTTAGCCAGAATGGACTTGATCTCTTTACCTTGTGATCCGCCCGCCTCGGCCTCCCAAAGTGCTGGGATTACAGGCTTGAGCCACTGCGCCCGGCCTCTACAAGAAGTTTTTAAAAATTAGTGTAGCATGGTGGTGTGCACCTGTAGTCTCAGCTACTCGGGAGGCTGAGGTGGGAAGATCGCTTGAGCCCGGGAGTTCAAGGTTATAGTGAGTTGTGATCACACCACTGCTTTCCACCCTGGGCAACAGAGTGAGACACTGTCTCAACATTTAAAAAGCAAAAAACAAAAACACAACACTTTAGGTAGCAAAAAAAAAGCAAGATCACTCATTTTTTTTCTAGGTTGGACTCTTCACAGAAATTGGGCCTATGTCTTGCTTCATCTCTCGGCATGTAAGTCTAGGCACACTGGGTGGGGCTGAGGAAGAGAGATACCCATTCATTACCATCTACTGATGTATCCATTGAAAGTGCTAACCCAGTCTCACTTTCCTTTCAGTCCATCCCTTCAGAGATGGAGTTTGATCCTAACTCCAACCCACCATGTTACAAGACAATGGATGAGGTAAGTGGGCAGAAAGAAGTCAGGGGGAGGAGAGAATCAGCCATCCTGAGTATTGGCCTGGGGATGACTGAGTACAGATGGTCCCCAAATAACCATGGCTTAACTTATGGTTTTATGACTTTGCAATGGTGTGAATGTGCTGTGCATTCAGTATGCCCCCAGACTTACAGTGGAGTCGTTGTGATTTAACCTATTATAAACTGAGGAGCATCTGTATACTGTTTCTCCTCTCCCCAGGATATTGTGATTCAGCAGGACGATGAGATCCGCTTGAAGATTGTGGGGACCCGTGTGGACAAGAATGACATTGTGAGTCTTTTCCCTGCCTCTCTGCCTATACCAGGTTGAGCTGAGAGCTGTCGATTCCTTACCACCCGCGGTTTCAGGGTTTTTTTTTTTTTTTTTTTTTTTTTTTTTT